TGGGCTAACATCCGTGCCTATCTTCCTCTACTTTATATGGGATGCTGCCACAGCATGGCTTGATGAACCGTGAGTACGTCCATGCCCGGGATCTGAACCTGTGAACCCCGGGCCACCGAAGTGGAGCATGTGAACTTAACTGCTGCGCCACTAGGCCAGCCCCAGGCTTTATTTTTCAGAGAAGTTTTAGGTTCACAGCGCAACTGAGTGAGTGGAAGGTACAGAGATTTCCCATACATTTCCTGCCCCCACACATGCATAGTCTCCCCCATTATCAACATCCCCCACAGAGTGGCACATTGTTACAATCAACGCACCTAAACTGACACATTAGAATCACCCACAATCCGCAGTTTACATTAGGGTTCCCTCTTGGTGTTGTACATTCTATGGGCTTTGACAACCGTATAATGACGTGTACCCACCATCGTAGTATCATACAGAACAGTTCCACTGCCCTAAAATCCCCTGTGTCTGCCCATTCAGCCCTCTCTCCGCAGAAACTAACCCCCGGCAACCACTGATCTTTTTACTGTCTCCGTAGTTTTCTGGCAGCCACTTTACAAGGGAAACTTGATACAGTAAGTTTTCATCAAAAATAGAAGACATAAAATTTTCTCAGAAGAGACAAAATTTTTTCTTGGTTCTCAATTCTGTAAGGAATTAGTTACTTTATGGGATCAAGACAGATACATCAGATAGTATCCACAATAGCCTTCCAGAAACTGCAGGTGCAGGTCTTACTGAACTGGATCTTGTTATAAAATCATAAAAGCTCCAAGTCCAAATCAGTCAGAGAAGAGCCCTCCAGGTTCTAAGTTAAGTTCCAAGAGACTAGCTTGGTCCAAGGTTAATATCTGGGAAATCCAGAGGAGTTATGGATAGCACATCCCCTACTTAGACTGGCTTCCATAAAAATCATTTATTTTAACAAGGATTTTTATAAGCACTCAAGTTTTGCCTAAAGAACTGGCCTTCCACGTTGTTTGAGAACAGATCCATGTTTCAGAGACCAGAAGAGTGGGCCGATAATTTATTATGAAAAGGGAAAAAGCTTAGCTAGTACTTCCCCCGTGTGGCAGTGCGATGCAAGAGCATTTTAGGCAACTTTGAATTTGCTCAAATACTTTGATACAAACTCACATGAGATTAGAGATTCACAACACAGCATGCCAGAGCTGGTTTAGGTGTAGAAAATGTTAATACAGGCATTTGCAGTTGTTTGCCTTGGACGTAGAAACATCTTCATAGAGAAGCATCTAGCTCCCAGCAGGAAAACTTTGACTCGAGTGGAGGAGGCAATCGATGTTTGCTGAGCACCTACTACATGTGTGGGGTGCTGGACCAGGCACTTCATACAGTTTACCTAATTTAATTGGGTGAGTTCTGTGTTAAGAATTCCCAAATAAATATATTGACTTGCTGTATGATGAAAATCATTGACTAAGTGAATTTTGGAGAAGGATTTTCAAAAACAATGATTTTTTGGGGGGAGGGGTTTATTTTATTTTATTTATTTATTTATTTATTTATTTATTTATTGTGAGGATGATCAGCCCTGAGTTAACATCCATGACAATCCTCCTCTATTTCGCTGAGGAAGACTGGCCCTGAGCTAACATCCGTGCCCATCTTCCTCTACTTTATGTGGGACGCTCCCACAGCATGGCCTGACAAGTGGTGCGCGCCCGGGATCCGAACCCGCGCCGCCAGCAGTGGAGTGCGTGCACTTAACCGCTACGCCACGGGGCTGGCCCCAAAAGCAATGATTTTTTAATGATGTCATAATTAATGCTAAGCTTTCTTTCTGGCAGTAATTAAATATTAAGTCCACTGGCTTCTTGAGGCCATGGCAAAGACAATGCTGGGTATTAATTAAAAGCTTTCCTTCTAGGGCCAGCCCAGTGGCATAGTGGTTAAGTTCTCTTGCTCTGCTTCAGCAGCCCAGGGTTCGAGGGTTTGGATCCCGGACACGGACATATGCACTGCTCATCAAGCTACGCTGTGGTGGAATGCCATATCCCATATACGAAATGGAGGAAGATGGGCACAGATGTTAGCTCAGGGCTAATACTTCCTCAGCAAAAAGAGGAGGATTGGCAATTGATGTTAGCTCAGGTCTGATCTTCCTCACCAAAAAAAAAAAGTTTTCATTTTCCTCCTCCCGTACTGGGAAAATACTTTTTCCAATTTCTCTTGCAGTCAAGTTGGAGCCATGTGACTAGGTAGTGGCCAATGGAAGGCCACAAGTCCCCAGGTATGATTGCCCGTGCTCTTTCTCCCTTGTCCATGTGGCTACATGAGGAGAACTCCAGGAAGACAGAACCACAGGGTGGAAGGAGCCCAGATCCCTGAACAGCCACTTGTAAAGGACCCCTTAGGAGAGCTGTGCAGCCTGCATTACGTTTTGCACTAATGCAAGGAATTTTTATTGTGTTAAGCCAAGGATATTGGGGGTGATGTGCTAAGGAAGCTGGCTAGTGTGACCACTCCTGGTTTTGTGACACTAGAAACTCATTGTCAACATAGAAGAAATTTTCCATCTTTATACATCAAAACATGAATCAAAATTTCTTTAAAATTTGTATCAGATCATTAAGATACAATTATTTTTTTGTGAGGAAGATTGGCCCTGGGCTAACATCCATGCCCATCTTCCTCTACTTTATATAGGACGCCACCACAGTGTGGCTTGGCAAGTGGTGCGACGTGCATACCTGGGATCTGAACCTGTGAGAACCCTGGGCTGCCGAAGCGGAGCTCGAGCACTTAACCGCTATGCCACCAGGCCGGCCCCCTAAGATACAATTTTTAAAAGGCTGAAATGTAGCAGACTAAACATAACTCTATTTTGTAACTCCTGAAAATGGTTTCTCCTTTCTTGGTCAGCCATTCCTGCCTATTTCAATTCTTCCCGTGATATTAATTAAAATAGAACCAAAAGCCCATCAAATAAAGTCTTCTATTGTCCCTGCAGAATCATCTGAAGATGCATGAGGAACGCTGGCAGAAGTAGTTGTGCTGCAGCTCGGGGGGTTCTCGCGTGTGCCATACGAGACCAAGAGATCAGCGCCTTCAGTTTGTCAAGAGAAAACCGGCATAAAATTTTGAAGTCAATCTTTTAAGTTGGTAATTTTTTTATTATATTTTTAACTTTTTCATATAGGAATGTGTTTATATATTTAAATTACCAACTTTTGTAACTATCTTACTTAATATTCTTATTTTTTCAATAAATTTTTAAATGACTATTTGCCTATTTTAGTTACATAATCATATCTTAACAAGAACTTTGCCTCTTGCTTTCAAAAATTCATTTTTTCTTGTTTAATCCCATCAAATAGTATTTCTGGAATATTATAAAATAAAAGTAGTGATATGGGCATCCTCATCTCGTTTCTGACATTAATAAGAATTCTCCCAGTATTCACATTACACATTATTCTGGTTTTTAGTTTGAGGTTATATATATATCTTCCTATCTTATCAATAGGCTTTTTAAAAAAATCAGCAATCAATAGTGCTGATCACAGAGTCTGCAGCACCCTCAGGTTTTCTTGGGTTTTAAACATTCAGAATATTTAGGCTCACAAGACTACCACGGTCACGTCTGACACCTATTTCCTCAGAAGGACATAGAAGAGGGACCTCGGTAACATCAAGGGTTCCTCTTCAATGCAACCCCTCACACAGCAGAACAGGATGAGAAACACTTTCAAGAGGTGTGAGACTGCCTCTTAACAGCCTCATGCCCCTCTGGAGCCAATATCCCTTGTGACAACCCCATAGGCATAGTGTCCAAGGTCTCTGCAAGGGACATGCCCAGTTATAAGAGTCACTGAACTCGGGTTGGTCGAGTGCTATGGTTTTCTATCAGGCATATTTGGTTCTCCCTCTCTAAATGCATTTTACCAATCAGGGGTCCATTTTTACCAGCAACATAGCAACATAGTTCACAAACCACCTTATCAGGTTGCCAGGGGAACAGAGCGAGAAAGTTAACATAAGGTCAAATTCTCATGCAGAAGGGGAAAGGATTTTGTTAACCCTTTGCCCACATGGAGGTTTTCTGTTTACTTGATTGTAATGGATTCTTTTAATACCTTCCTGATTATCCTTGCTAATCATTTATTAGAGTTTTTGCATTGATATTTGTGTCTGAGATGAGCTGTGTATATGTGTGTACGTTTGTGCGCATATGAGAATGCCATTTTTTCAGGTTTAGATATCAATGACTTCTTAGAAATAATTTATAAGCATTCTTTTTTTTTGTATTTTAGAAGAGTTTAAATAGTATTGGAATTACGTATTCTTAGAAGGGATGATATGCTCTGATGGCAGGATAACTCTAGCTGCTGTGTGCAGGCGGAAAGTTCGTGACACTATGCTCTTCTGTAAAATCATTACCTACGACCACTTGGAAGGCACAACATATACCCGAATAAAGGGAATATTGTTGAAAAGTAAAAATATTAGGGTTTTTTGCTGCTCCTCTTTGCTTTCACAAGGTCTTAAGAAAGAGATGGGCTCAGGCAAGAACTGATTGTTTTGTAAGCAGAAATGGAAGGAAATGAGAATGTCCAGAAACTTCAGGCTTCCCAGGGTTGAAAAAGACAACTGCTTTTATGCCCCAAACATTAATATAAACAAAGGGATCCAAGCCTTGTGGCAAAGATCAGAGTAAGGGAGTTGCCGTCCCCAACACCCTGTTATTCCAGCTAGCCTCAAGGTGGCCTCCATTAGGATGAAAGAAGAAGGTATGAACTCAAGGAAGCAAAGAAATAAAGCAGGCTTAAGAACTAGGACTAGCAGAGACTTTGCTTATGGTTATCTGCACAAGGAACTGACTGGAAGCAATTAGATCAGATCCTATTAGGGTTTTAAGGAAATTAGAGCCACAGAAAGCATGAGTCTGGCCTGAAAATATGCTGTCTCTGTTAGCTCCTTAAAGCTACACTCAGGCCTTCCAATCTGTACCAGTAGAAAAAGAACTGTCCACGATGGCCAGCCCCAAGGAAGGCATATGCTCTGGCAGTCACGTCGATGTGGCTCTGGAAGATGAACGGACGAGGCAGGAGAACAGGTGTGACCCGACTGTCTGACCAAGGCACCTCCTCCACTGCCTGGGCTGAGAACCTCCCTTCTCCTAGCTGAGCTGAGAGGCAGAGTTGCTGTGAACAAGCAGCTGTGTGCTCCGCATCCTTCTCTTTTCTTAATAGGAGTTTTTAAAGCAGTAATCCTGTCCCGTGCCACCACTGCGTACGGGATGGGGGAGCAAGAGCTTGCTTAACGGTTTGCATGACGCCAACTATGAGAACTTGATAGAGAAAACACATGTTCTCTCCCTCTGTCTGTACACCACCTCCCTAGAGGTGACCAGATCACTCCTAAAATCACACCACTGGGCCGGCCCTGTGGCTTGGTGGTTAAGTGCGCGCGCTGCAATGCTGGTGGCCCGGGTTCGGATCCCGGGTGCGCATCAAGGCACCACTTCTCCGTCCATCCTGAGGCCGAGTCCCACATACAGCAACTAGAAGGATGTGCAGCTATGACATACAACTATCTACTGGGGCTTTGGGGGGAAAAAATTAAATAAATAAAATCTTTAAAATCACACCACCTGTTTCCATCACCTCATCCCTCCTGTCCCCTCTCTTCACGGCACTGGTGGTCTTGCTCCATCACTGCAAAGTAAACTCCTTCAGGGCGCAACTTTCTCTTGCTCCCAACTGAAGTCCTAGCACCTAGAAATGGCCAATACATTGTGTGCTCTCAATAAATATTTGTTGAAAGAAAAAAAAGACTTAAATAATTAAGAGCTTCTAATTTCTGAGTGTTTGAAGTTGAGTTTGTTTTGTTCTATTCTGTGGTTTATCTGTATCACATTGTGATCAATGACAGATAATTATCTGTGGGGAGAAAATCGGGATTGCTACTTGCAAGGTGGTATTACCTGGCATGAAACCTAACCAAAATGTTGTCCTGCTGCAAAGTACAGACATTGCTACAAGCTAGCTGTTTTGATCTGGTTCTTTCTTGTTTGTTTTTAAGACTGGGAGAGTGAAATGGCACCCCCATGGGAACTCCATCTCTTTTTTGGAATGATCACTGGTGGTCATAACTGCAGCAAACTAACCAAGTAGACCTTGGAATTCCTTAGAGTCTCCTCATTCCATGATGCAGCAAAGACTGATATAATTAGCTACAGTTTACTCAAGGGAGAAGCTCAAGTTCACCAGGCAGAATTCAATCCAGTCCAGTCGGATCTATTTAATATTTGCTGAATTCAAGCCTTGGGCCCGGCCTTGTGCTGGGCCCAGGGATATAGTGACAACTGCCCTTGCCCTCCTTCAGTTAGATTAATGTCTCTCGGGAGCCCAGAGGGGTAGAGAAGCAATGCCAGCACAATGCATTAAGAGCTACTCTTGGGGGGGCACAGGGTTACAGAAGCACATACCACAGGAGTGTCCTTCAAACAGGCTTCCTGGGTAAGTGTCAGCCGAGCTTGGACTCAAGGGTAAGTGGGGAGAGTCCAGATGGAGCAGGGAGACGAAGGACGGTTTTCTAGGCCAAAGAAAAGTTACGGGAAGAAAACAAAAGAGGCATGCAGATGGGGCATTACAGTCTGCTCCACATGTTCACCCTGTTTTCCCCCACCTCCCATCCCCCTTTCCTTCCATCTCCAGTTGCAGCCTGTGGGTTAGGCCGTTTCTCCCTAAACATCCATTGCTCTGGTGCAGCTTCTTTGCACATCCAAGCCAGGAACCAGCCAAACAAAGAAAACGGCTAAGGAGTAGCCACTGGAACTGAGCCTACATTACACTTACAAAAATTTGATTTCTGCAGAAAAAATATTTTGACTCCTACATTTTTGGACTTCATTAGAAAGATCTGAAATGGATGACACCAAGCTGTTTGCCTAAAATAATGTCCCAAGCCTGAATTGGCATGGATATTTCCTGAGATTAAAATAGAAACTTGTTTTGCTAACAGAAAACAACTCGGAAATCAAAGAGTCATTTAAGTTGAAACCATTATTTTTCCTATTCTTGCAGAAAATTCCTGTTTTTATACACACTAAGAGATCGGGATAGGAAGGTCACTCTGCCACAGAACTTTCCACTAAAAGTGTGAAGTTGAGAAACCTCAAAATGAAAATAAAGATGGGGGAAAAACTTTGTAATGTAACAAACTCATCCAATAAACATTTCTGAGCACCTAGTCGGTGTAGGCACCGTTCTAGGCACTAAACAAAGACCTCATTCTTGTAGGGTCTGCATTCCAGCAGAAAGAAGACATACAAACAATGAATGAGCAGGTTACACAGGAAACTGGACGATGAGTGGTGTGGAGAACAGGCAGGGGGCGTGAGGGGGTGCAGTGTTACAGAGGGTGGTCATGGGTGGTCTCCTCCGAGCGGTGACATTTGAGAGGAGACTGAAGGAAGTGAGAACGCAGATACCCAGGTTCAGGCAGCGGTAACACGCAGGCAGGCTCTAAGGCGGGGACACGCCTGAAACGCCCGAGAAAGGCGAGGCCACGGATTAGGGGAAGAGAGGGGTAGGAGGCGAGGCCTGAGAGGATGGAGATGGCAGCTCACTGCCCTGGAGTCATGCGGGGAGGCTTTGGGAAGAGGGTGACGCGACTGGACCGACGTCTTAACGTGCATTTTAGGATAATCACTGCGTGTTTCCACTTGAACACAGTCCTTGCGTACAGTACTTTTCACTCTGCAACCACAGAGCGATGATCGTCTCAAGCGGCTTCTGAAGGCTCCCCGCAGGATCCGGACGGCAGGGCTCTCGGCGGGACCAGCCCCCTCCCCGCGGGCACGCGCCCGGCCGGGCGGCAGAGACGGAGGCAGCCTGCACGCTCCTGCAGACCTCGACCCGAGAGCCCAACATTTCTTTTGGTTGGGTACAAAACACAACGTCCGCCCCTGCCAACTCTGCGGAGAAGCCGACTCCGGGGTTCGCCTTCGCTAAACCGTCCACGTCGCGCTGTGGTTTCACCGATGCAGACGCTGCGCGGCTCCGGCCCGTGAGCCTTGCGCCGGGGAAGGCGCGCCCGCCCCGGGCGCCACCTGCCCGGGCGGCCCCCACCTGTCCCGGC